GGTATATGTAATTTTTTGGTCATATTTATTATGTAGTGTATATTGGGAGGTGGTGACCCTTTGAGAGCTGTATGCAAAGAAATTTCATTTTAATGTGTGTTGATTAGTGTACGTTTAAAGTGACAATAAAGTTTATTCTATTCTATTCTATTCTATTCTATTCTATTCTATTCTATTCTATTCTATTCTATTCTATTCTATTCTTTAAAAAAAGGTTTATTCATTCTAAGGGTTTAAACACAGAACAAGGAAAGTTGCCCCCAAATGAGTTCATATCACACTTGATATGAACACTTGTTTAGAAAAAAGGCAAACAGAGTAGCTAGGCCACTGGACTAATATATCAAGTATTGAATCAGCAAAATTCACCTCTGACTGTGCATCCTGCAAAGCTTTCTTTAGCTTATCCACTGTAAGCTGGAATGGACGAGTGCAACTGCCAGTAACCTGAAATATACCAAACAAGAGACTGAATAGTGGCTTTCAGATCCATTGCATGCAATAGTAATGAAGAATATTATTATTATTTTTTAACAAATATTTTATTGAATTTTTTAAGGGTAACAAGGGAATAGGGTCAACAGAGGTAGAACAAAGGGAGACATACAAAAGGGTTAAATCAAAGGAAGGGGATAAACACAAAAGTGGGATCAATCCCACAAAATAACATCGCTTCAGCAAGTAAACCCGTCCGGGTATATATATTAAATCTTAATAATTACTCTAGTATTAAACAGCTTTCAATATAGTCATGTAAATAAGTTAATCAATATATCTCATTCATTTTACTAATTAACAATGCTTAATACTAATTAGTTGTAATAACTTTAAAATAGTAATATATTACTTATCGGTTATAATTTACTATATATCACAAATACGAAAAAAAGAAAAAAACAGAAAAAGACAAGTTCATACAAATAATCATGAAATATAAATACAAATTATCAATTATCTCTTTAAGTTTCATAACCTTTTCTCATTCTATCGTATTGCTAACCATTGGTAAAACTTTTCCCATGTTTTAAAATAAATTGTATCTTCTCTTTCATTTCTAAAGTTAATCTATCCATTTCTGCACATTCAAGTATTTTTGTTATTATAATGTGATCAGATGGTAAATTTTCATTTTTCCAAAATTGGGCAAATGTTATTCTCGCGGCTGTTAACACATGTAATATTAAATACTCATTCTCTTTTCCATAATTCAAGCCTAATATTCCTAGCAAACAAAGTTCTGGTTTAAATTCTATCTGTATTTTAATCATCTTTTCCAGCCACATATGAATCTTAAACCAAAATTTCTTAGCATTAAGGCATATCCACCAGAGATGGTAATAAGTGCCTGGTTGTTGTTTACATTTCCAACACATATTTGATACATTTTTAAACATTTTCTCTAATCTAACTGGTATCATGTGCCATCTATAAAACATTTTATATAAATTTTCCTTATATGCAGCTATTCTAGTAAGTTTAATATTTCGGTCCCATAGTTTTTGCCAATCTTCTAAATCTATAGAATAACCAAAATTCTTTGCCCACACTATCACTGTATCTTTCACTTGTTCTTCTTCCATCTTCCAGTTTAACAAAAATTTATAGAGTTTCTTAATCAAATTTTCATCTGTTTTCAAGAGTATTTTATCTAATGGTGTCTGTTCTTTGTAAAATCCCATTACTTTTACATCTTTTTCATATCTTGTTTGAATTTGCAAATATGACCACCATGTTAAATCAATACCATTTTGTTGAAGATCTTACCTATCTTTTAAGTTTTCCTTCTTTATCTAAAATATCTTTATAGACCACAAGTTTATCATAGTTAATTAACTTCGGATACGCAAATGCTTCCATTGTTGAAAGCCACTCAGGTATTTTCATATAAATTTTATTTTTAATTCTCTCCCACTCTGAGAGTAGTACATTCCTTATAGTGTGAGTTTGAAAGTATTTATGTACTTTATTTTTCTCATACCATAGGAAAGCGTGCCGACCCAGTTGCAAATCATGTCCCTCTAAATAAAGAAGTCGTTTATTTCTCAATGTAATCCATTCTTTAAGCCACAACAAAATAGTGGCTTGGTAGTAGAGTCTCCAGGCTGGGAGCCCAAAGCCCCCTCTGTCTTTTGAGTCTTGTAACAGTTTAATTTTAATTCTTGCTTTTTTCCCTTGCCATATAAATCTCATTATTGTTGCATTTAAATCATCGAAAAATTTCTGGCTTAGTTTGACAGGAACCGTCTGAAATAAAAATAGCAGTTTAGGTAAGATATTCATCTTAACAGTCGCTATCCTTCCNNNNGTTGCATTTAAATCATCGAAAAATTTCTGGCTTAGTTTGACAGGAACCGTCTGAAATAAAAATAGCAGTTTAGGTAAGATATTCATCTTAACAGTCGCTATCCTTCCTAATAGTGATAATTGAAAGTTTTTCCACTTCTCCAAATCTGTTTTTATTTATTTCAATAGTCTTTCATAGTTGTCTTCTTTTATTGTTGTATATTTTGATGTTAAATAGATACCTAGATATTTAACTTTTTTGGCTATCTGGAGATTTGTTTTTTCCACAAATTGAGCTTTCTGTTTTTCTGTTAGATTTCTTGTAAGTACTTTAGTCTTTTCCCTATTTATTTTCAACCCAGCCAGTTCTCCAAATTCCTCTATTTTCTGCAACAGTTTAGTGGCTGTTTCCAAAGGCTCCTCCAAGATAAAGACCAAATCATCTGCAAAAGCTTGTAATTTATATTTCTGATCTTTTATCTCCAGCCCTTTGATCTCCACATCTTGTCTAATATTCCTGGCCAACACTTCCAATGTAAGAATAAATAACAAGGGAGACAATGGGCATCCTTGTCTTGTGCCTTTTTTAATATCGAAGTTATCTGTATAGTCTCCATTTAAAAGTATCTTCGCTGATTGTTTATTGTAAATTGCTTGAATTGCGTTTATAAAATTTTCACCAAAATCCATCACTCGCAGCTGATGAAACATAAATTGCCAATTAAGATTATCAAAGGTTTTTTGTGCATCCAAAAATATCAGTGCCATTTGTTTCCTCGGATGTTTTTCATAATATTCTAACACATTTAAAATAATTCTTAAATTGTTCTTTATCTGTCTTTTAGGCAGAAAACAATTTTGATCTGAATGGATAAATTCATTCAAAAATTTCAGTAATGAAGAATATTATTAACCAAGATGGCATCATTCAGACACTTCAAGATAGATATCTCAGCAAATCATGAAAAATCTTGGAATGCTAATTTAAGCACAAGCATCCTTTTTATCCAGATCACCAAATGTTTATATCTCCAAGTCCCTGTGATCTATTTTATATTCCAAACTTACTCTCCTATCTACTTTTGTATCATGCAACACTACCATTAACATTCTGCTAATCCAGCCCAACAGAGAACATTTAATCTACGAGGGGGCCAACCCAACTTGTTCCAAGCTTATTGTTCCTATGATCAAATGATATAGCCAGAAAGCTGAATGGAATGCCAAGGGATTCCAGAATATGGTGGTCATCCAAATATTTCCTTACCTGACTATCTAAATAGGCATAAACCAGCTTGACCCTGCCAGACAGGTACACATCTTTGGTGACTCCTCCATAGAAAGGAGTAGCAATCAGGAATGCTTCTGAAATAAAAAGAATAAAGCAATAACCTACTGCTGCTATTGATACTCCTTATATAACTGAGCTCAGTTCAATTATTTATAAGCTTCGATCTGTACGTTAATTTCAGGATTAATTTTGATTCTGTAGTCTGGTGGTTTTAAATTCATTTCCACATCCCAAAGACAAAATATACATTCCTAAATGGAATGGAAAAGGATTTTTTTAAATAAAAAAGCTACTCAAGAATTCAGTCAAGTTAACAACAGTTTTTTAAGAGCCAAGGCAGGGCTAGCAATTTTATTTTCAGCTGGAAAAGTACACGTTAGGTGGTTTTACTGGAAAAGCATTAGAGAGGATGGGAAGATGGTGGCTGCATAGTTTGCCCACCCCTCTGGATGAAGTCTTACCCAACTTCCTGAGTACAATTGTGTCAACTGTAACTCCCATCACACTCTATCATCATGGACATTAGCTTATGGAATGCTATGCTAGGGCAAGTCAAGCAGAAGCATATGAGAAGAAAGACTAATAGAACAGCCTCAAACATTTTGATTCCAGTGAAAAATGTAACACAGACCATTCATCTCTTGCAATGTCAGCACAGAGAAAGATAGATCTATCCCAAGAATCTCTTTCTGAGAAGGAAATGAGCATTCAATGCAGAGTCCATGAAAATATACTGTACACCTTTCTTCTTTTGGATTTAACTCCCACCCCCCAAAAAACCCTCTTGTGATTTCCTAGCTTATCACTTCTAGAGAACATTTAAAGCAATATAGAATCCAAACAGAATTGATAAAGAGAAAAAGAATGAAATTTTCTGAAGCTCTATACTCAAATTTAAGATGGGAATATCTATATAAACACGGGAATTCTGTGTTTTTTTCTGTTTTCCACTGTATTCTTGGATGAAGAATACTAGGTCAAATGTATGAATGTTGTACATATGAAGTAAAGCAGGATTTACTAAGAAAAAAAGAAATGACTTCCATTATATAATATATAGAGATACGCCTACACAGATATTCTTTTTCCACAGAATTCATGTCCTTTTGGTTCATAAATCATTGGCAGTATACAAATACAGTAAATAAATATCTATGTATTTTGTGTTATCATTACATGACAGTATTTATAGATTAAACTGTCATAAATAAGCAGGTTAAAAAAACCCTTTAATGTACCAATCACAGGAACTAATTAATCAAAGGTTTTCTCCAGTTCTGCCCTGATGAATGAGAGCTATTCTGTACTATGTTAGACACAATATCTAGAAAAACCTAAGCAATTTCAGTCCTTTTCTGCAAAACTCCTGCTTTGCTGCCCTCTAACAAACTTGTGTTTTAAATTGCTCCAGCTCACTTGCCTCCTGGATCACACAGAACCATAGCCAAACTAGAAAACAAAGATCCACAGCCATTCTGCAGAATCACCTAGAGAAAAGATATTCAGACAGATATTACTTTCTGGAGAGACTATTCTTCCAATAAAATTTCATTTATTTAGTTTGTGTCTAGGTATTTTATCCTTGGGGTAGATAGGCTTCTGCCTTAATGTTCTCTTGGGTTTGAAGTGTGCACATGTGTTATGTTGGTTGGCAGAAGCTAACTCAAGAATACATTAAGCTTGTCCACCCCAAGGGAAAAACATTTGTTTTCTTGTTGCATTGCTATAATAGATAATGTGTTGAGAAATTGGAGGGCAGGGATGAGAGATTAGAAAACCTGTGACACAAAAATATAATCTCTGCTGTCTTCATCACTCTGCAATTTCTTAGTTGTTTCTTTTCCCAGCACCATCTACTTGATTTCTACACACCCCTAACATAGTTCTCGGCTTATAACTGTAAGGCCAAAATTATGGTCATATATTTTGCTGGTTGTTAAGTGGGTCATCATGTCACCAATCCAATTTTACGATATCTTTTTGCAGCAGTTGTTATGCAAATGCAGCAATCATAAAGTAAAGCCATTTTATTATTAAGCAAACATGGTGGTCCATAAGCAACCCCATTGTTCACAATACACATTTTTTGCTGGAAACTGGGATGTTGTAAATCATAATCATGTGACCATAGGACACTGCAAATGGCCATAAATGCAGGCCAGCTGCCAAGTGTCCAAAATGCAATCCCATGACTATGAGGGTGGATATCAGAACTTCAAATCCAGGTTGTAAGTACCTTTGGGTGGGTCCGTCAAAACTTTGAACAGTTATTAAATGACCGATTGTTAAGCAAGGAGTACCTATATAGTTTTGACACCTAATGGTAGTCACTTACTGAAAATAAAACAAACCAGAAAATAGGTTGACTTACATTTTCTGCTTTGAGAGGTGCAGGGGCTTTGCTATAATAGGTCAAAAATCGAGCCACTTCCTCTAGCACACTGGAGAAGACACAAAAGCAATCAGAGTTTTCCAAGAGATATCTTCACTCCTCTCCAGGCTGGAAAACACAGATTCAGACTTTCTGACAAAAGAGGGTGAAGACTCTTGACCAAGGCTACTTACAACATATGGCCCTTCCAGTCAGGATACTCCAGCAGGGAAGGATCTGTGAGTTTCACGGCACTTTGGGCCAGCTATCAGCAATGAGAAGGAGAGGACAAAATTAGATAGATAGATAGATAGATAGATAGATAGATAGATAGATAGATAGATAGATAGATAGATAGATAGATAGATAGATAGATAGATAGATAGATAGATAGATAGATAGATAGATAGATGATAACCTTTATTGTCATTTTTTACTGTGGGCACAATGGCACACATTAAAAATGAAATTTAGTTGCTTGCTCTCATACATAACACACATTTAAACATACCATATACAACATATGTATAGACCTACACCCTTACATATAAGTAACATATAAATATTCATTACTGTCCATCTTGAATATATAACAGAAAAAGGAAGCTTTAGAGTTCACAAGGTTAATACTGTATGGAAGAAAACTGTGACTGAATCTGGATGTTCTGCTTCGGATACCACGGAGCCCCCTCCCAGAAGGTAACAAGGAAAGCAGGTCGTGAAGAAGATGTGTAGTGTCCCAGACAATCTTCCGAACCCTGCTCAAGCAACACTGAGGTGCTATGTCCTGAATGGAAAGGAGGAAACTGCCAATAATCTTTTCAGCCATCGTCACCACTCTCTGCACCGCCTTCCTGTCTGAAGTAGTAATTATTAAGCATATCACCAGGAAATGGTCTGGAAATTAGCAAGGTTGACAGTTTCCTTCTTCACTTGCAAGGCATCTTGCAAATGAACCACACAGAGAGAGAGGCTGGGTGTGCACACTGTGATTCCTTTCTTTTTGGTTTGGTTGGACGAACTCAATCAAGAGTTGTTTGTTTAAGAAACTACAAGCATACAAACCCATGACTCTGAATGAAACAGGCCTGTGTTTTTATTGAGTGATTTAGATCACTATTATTTTGTAATTTTTGCAAAATATGTATAAAATGCATACATATATTATACTCAAAGAACATTGCCACCAATTTAAAAGAAAGCAGGGGCTTTGCTTCCTGCCTCCCCTTACTCCATAAAAACGTGGGGTGGGAGTAAGGGACTAAAAGAACTTGTCCATTTAGCATGAAACCATTTGTCCGAGATTCATGGATGAAAACTATATTGGTGAATGTAATTCACATAATAGCTCCCTAAATAGTTTTCTCAAAGGCCCACCGCTCATGCTGAAGGAAGAAGCATAAGATTATTCAGGATGAGAACAAAGTCAAATAGTACTAATGTAAACAGATAGAAAAACAATATAAACCTCAAGTGACTCATCTAGGAAATTATTTTCTTTGTAAAATCATCATAAAATGCCATCACCTGGTGATCACTATTACTTAAGAATGATGCATGTTTACAATATTCTTACCTTTTGGGATATTAGATCAAAGCAGAGTTTGTTTTCACTGGTACTCAAATTAATGATGCCCTAGGAATACAGATAAATGTTTCATTAAAAATAAGTTATTAGTTGCTATCCTATTAGCTACCTCAAAAATTACGTTCCCTAAAACTTTAGCATTTCTAGAGCCAATAAAGATTCTGGAAAGAGGGTTGTGATAGAAGATACATATGAGTCAAACGAATTATGTTTCATTTCATTTTTTTGTGAAAGATTTGTAAAGATTTCATTTGCAATCTGCCTATATTTATATTGTCCATTGTTTATTCCATACCATTGTTTATGTTTGGAAACTTCATTTTTCATATCAGATTCAAAGAAACTGCAGGTTAGCATTCTACACAAACACACAGACAGACACAAATTCATTTATTCGTTACTCATGGGGGGCGGGGGGGGGGGAAGCTTAGCTGTGACTATTTTACCCAAGTAACTTTTATATGAATAAAATGTACTTTATATATTTAACTGCTACTATTTGCTAAGGAGAGATATATTGGTTTATGCTATTTTTTCTTTGCACAAAAGGCCAGTAGGCTAACTTAAATGAGCAAGAGTATTTAAAAATAACTAAAATTAATGGCTAAGAGAGGATCTGAATCCAAACCAAATCAGTTCAACAGTTCACCTATATTACACAGTCTATACTATGGAAGAATGAACTAAAAGATTAGCATTCTAATAATGGGCTTCTCGGCTAAGAAAAATGTAATTAGGTTGATTTTTTTAAAAAAACAAACAACCTCACATTTTGAATGAAGCTTGAAATGAATGTAGCTATTTGAGGTTTATGTAATATAAAAAGATTACACTGATTAGAGCTAGCATAGCTGGTTTTATTGATGGATAGTAATATTAATGCTGCTACAGTTTGGATGCTCTGCTATTTTAAGGCAAAGTGTGTTTGTTTTTACAGTAAGCAGCTCTGAAAGTTCACAGTGACTTTGTGTGGTTGGCATTCTTTCCTGGCATTAAAATTTAGTTTGTATGGTTTAAAATGTTCTTATATGCCATATTTAGGCGAATTAACTGTAAAAACAAGCCATCTTAAAAAAAATAAAACAAGATTTTTTCATCTAATGTTCATTTGTGCCTGGTGGAGTAAGGAAATTCACATGGAAATTGTGGAGAAAATTATTAAACCACTTTTCCCCTACTGTGTCTACTGCCTAAAGAAAGTTTTTCAAAAAGGTTTTGCCCAAGACTTTTGGTTTGCTGACATGGCCATCACAGATGTCTGGAAGGTGAGCTCTGTCTTCCATGTCTGATTTCGCACCGCTGGGGGACCCTGGAAAGGGTTGAAAGTCGCCTCATAGGGGCGACAAGCGAGGAGGGGATCCCCGCTTGATCGCAGGTGGGCGGTAGCCCTTCCGCTCTGTCCGGGGCAGCCCTCCAAACCGGCAAACAAAAGACTGGCCATAGAAATATGGCTCGTCACTAGGCTGCAGACAGCCGAAGTCAAATTTACCATCAGGCAACTATAAAGCAACGCAGATGAGATTGAGTGAGATCTACCTCTCTTAAATCCTATTTTTTCTACCTGCATAAGCTGCTCAAAGTCCTTTCCCCCCTGTGGAGAGAGAAGGGAGATTCTATCCCACCCACTAAAAACAGCAGCGACTGACTATCCAGGGGAGTTTAAAACATTGCAAGAATAACTTGATTCTAATTGGATTTCATCTTTTTAAAAATTTGTGGACTAAAAGATTTTTTTATTCTTACTGAAGATCAACTACACAGAATATCATAGGAGTGGAACAATTAAATACTTTGACAGAAGATTCAACTGATCAACAAACACAGTTAATGGAAAACCCAGAAAAGGGACTGACAACATGGAAAAGGGAAAAGACTTTTTATATAAACCAGAAGAAACCTGAGGATCAACAAGAAGAACAGGCTGAAGAGAAGATAAACAGTTCAGGACAACTATGTCGAGATGGAAAAATAGAGAGACGATTTGTTAATCCTTTCAAAAAAACAGCAACCAGATGGATTTTTCTACTTCAAAAAACATGCATAACAACACAGGGAGATTTATTTGATGACTTAAAAGCACAGACATAGAAGAAGAGTTGGCAAAGAAAGAAAGCTAGAATAAGACTGAAGAAAATTGGGGTTTTTTACTTATTAGTGAGAATTAAAATAGAACATACCAAAATAGATAAGATGTGTATTTTGAAGACTAGATTTTGTTATGAGCTGAGATAAAGAAAACTTTGGTCATTTAAAACTTGGAAGTATAAATACTAACACTTAAATTTGAATATTGATTTGCTTATAAAGGTTAAATGTAAAAGTAATTAAGATATATATATATATACGTTAAAAATCTATTGATGAATATAAATGTTTTTACTTAGCTGTTATAATAAAAACAATTAGCTTAAATACGAGATAGTAGATATTAAGAGAAAGAGTGAGGAAGTATTAAATGTTGAAATAAGAGAAATTTTGGTTATTAAATTTAAGATATTTGGAAATTAACAGAAAATAAGAATGTTATATTGTATTATCAATTGGTTGATGTAAGATGATGAGAAATAGA